AGAGCTCAACCACTTCGCCATCCCTGCCCACCCGTGTTTCCCACATCCCTCCATTGCAGCACTCTAGTCATGAGAGCCATCCCAACACATCACCACGATCCTAATGAGGTCTTAGCTCTGCAGCTGTGCATAGACTGTCCTCCTGCTTGCTCCTTATGCTACCCAGATTTGTATACAGGCACTTGAGATGGGTCCCAAGTTGTGCTGTTTTTACAGGGGAAGTGAGGGAGCCTCCCTTGTCATACCATCTCCCAGAAACATCTGCTCTGCCTCTTGTGCCCTCAATTCTCTCCAGGTTATGGTAACCATCCCCAGCATAGCTCATGTAAAGCCTTCCTCATTAGGTTAGGAAGCCCATTTGCAAAGACACCCTTGCCATGCCTCATCAGTCATACCCCATCCCAGCTCAGTGGCCCTCACTGTAAGCCAAAGCCTTGCCTGCAACAGCAGACATGCAGCCAAAGTGTGACACCCTGGATGAGTCCACTTCTGCTTAGGCCTTTCCCTCTCTCACTGGCAGGATTGAGGAGATACCACCTGTCCCCCTTGCCACCCTCGTCCCTAGTGCTCTGTAGTCACCCTTAATGCATTCCAGGTTACTCCCACCAGCATCACTCATGCCCACATGGAAGGTCAACCAGTATCTATGCTCGGGGAGGTGAAGTCAGACTATCTTGGTTTTCACTGCACATACTGCTGGAATTATTAGGAGGTGCAGACAACTGCACAGTGCAAAGACACACCAAAAGCTCCTGAAGGTCTGCAGCCAACTATCTTCAACAGCACAAGAAAAGATAGATATAGGAATAGCATTATACTTCACATTATAAAACATGGGGCCAGTACCAGTAGCAGTTTTAAGCCTTTCTAGCCCCTCTTGCTTAAATTTATCAATCAGATGAAAATAAGGTGACTTAAAAAAGTAGCCTGGAAGGGGAGATGGCAATCAGACATTTGCTGAGTTCAAAACAGTGTTCATAAGCAGCTGGGGAAAAGAAACAGGAGTAAGGGGCTGTATGAGCAATGTCTACTTTTAATAACCTTGCTAAGGATTATGCAGCAGCACAAGGGCATGTAAGCAGACACAACATATGTAGCTTGAAAACAAACAAGTTTCTGCTTATTTTGCAATAAAAAATTTAGAAGGTTGCAATCTGAAACAACCCTGAGTAAAAAAAAAGCAAACCCAAAGTTGAGTAGCTCTAGACCTATTCACTAAAGGTCTCCCTACTGTCTATAGTCCTGCAAAATTCTAACAAGTCTTTGTTTCAAAAGTTATTTAAACTTGTGTGTAAGTTTCATTAAATAGACGAACACTTTTCTCGAGGCCTGGAAGCATTCCTGAGCTCCCCTGCAATGACTAAGCCTTTCACCTTCTTTTTTATTGTTTTGAAGCACAAAATTAATTTGGGAGAAGCACAGAGGAAGTGATCCTTCCTTACCAAGACTCAAGATACTGGTGGAAAGGAATACAAAAAAGAAAGAGGTATTAACCCAGAGAGAAAAGCAGAAGCATCTATACCAGAGGAGTATCAGTCCTTTGAAGACTGCATACAATCCAGACACCATGTGAATATAAAAATGAATGCTTTTATAATTCAGGTTGGAAAAGGTGCCCAACTTTCTCTTAAATGCATAGAAAAGTAAGCCTTTACAATTGTCAATGGTGTACAAGAAGTAATATCAGCAGCCTGCCTCCTAGGCCATTGACGAGTATTGCCACAGAATACCATAAAAATTGCTTGTGATCACTAGCAAAGATTAATTGTTTCAATAAATGTAGTAAGTTTAAAATTAAATGTTGTAAAACTATAGGTTTGTGGTCTATGCCCATCACCAACCATCTGAGGCTCCTGACTAATGCATGGATTTTCCATTTTATGATGTCGTTTATTTTATCATATAAACATGGGGCAAGCCGCTCGTTCTTTACGTAAGACACTGCAGGCAAAAGTTATCCCTGGAAATCATGTCAGTAGGAAAGTATGATCAAGAAACGCCACCTGCTGTCTCCTGGATCGCTGTTCCAAAAAGCTGCTGGAATGCAAGGGTGTGCACAAAACTCACGTTTCGTTTTATTGCAGGAAGAATATTTGAATATGGTAAACAGCAATCCCTTCCCACATAACAGTACCCAAAAGAGCCCTCAGATCCTCATCTGAGCTACTTACCACATAAAACTTTAAGTAGCATTTCCTACAGAAGGCTCTTGCAGTGAAACCTAGAAAAAAATGCAGTGAATTCACTTTGAAATTCAAATGCCTTGATTTTTTTCAGATTTTTCACACACACACAAAATCTATTAATTCAACTTCACAATGTTGTCTTCTCTTTAATTTCAAGGTTCATACTTGACTAAAACTTCGTATAAGCAAACTACAATTATTCTACTGGCTGCAAAAATATAGTGCACATCCTCTTCTCTGAGGCTGTGTCCAAGAAATGCTGTCTAGTGAGTCAGCCCTTGATATTCCAGCCATTCTGACCTAGCAAAACCCCTAAGTATTTTCTTAACTTTGTTTGGTTTCCTGATCTCGGGTGCTGGGAAACCAGAAGCCAACCACACCTAAACACACTGAACTAAGGATGTGGCTGAAGACTCTTCTGCACAAAAGCCAGTGTACTCAGGACCTTGATGCACCAAAAGGTAAATTTATACACATTCAAATTCAAGCTTTCCCAGGTAACAATCCTCTGTGCAACTTGTATGAAACAAATGAGACTTGGTTTGAAATCAGCTGCATAAACACTAAAAGTTGTTCTTTTCTCCTACCTTCTTTCCTAAGGGAGGATGTTACCAATCTTCTACAACACTTCCAGAGCAACCTTCAATATTCTAATGGTGAATTGTCTGAATTTTGTGTGTGTTTCTTTGAACCTATCCTTTAATCCTTCTCAGATCACTGCTTTCTTTTTCTACTGAAGTATTCTCAGTTATCTAAGGGCATCCCCCTTGTCTCTCAAGACAAAGAAATGGTGTTTCTTTAAAACAAATTACTGACTTAATAGTTAGCTTGAGTAAATCAGCCTCAGGAACACAAGCAGTCAAGAGAAAAAAGCATAGAAAACATCAGCTACATTGACAATTGTAATAGAAGTTATCATTGCTTTAGTTGCAGGTAGGATACAGCCACAGTCAGGAACATAACCAATTCAGATAAAAACAAATAAACATGTACATCTCAGTCCTAGGATGACCCCACTTCTTGCAATTAATACAAGTTTGAAAGTGCCAAATAAAGAAATTAAATAGAATTGACCTTATATATTTGCTGTGTAACATGCTAAATAGGTCAAACTATCTATTGCCTTTAAAAATGTAGTTTTACATCAAACAGTTGTCCTGATAGATAGTATCAGCTGAGTAAACTGAAGAGTAGTTAACTCCTTTAACTTTTTTGAAATTAATCCTTGCCACACTGCAAGCAGCTTTTAAAAAAACCCTTATCAAATTTACTTGTGGAGAAAAGATTGGAAGATGCTCAAGGGTCCATATTGTATTGGAAGTGTTGAAAGAATTTCCAATTGAGGGAAAAGAAAATGGTTACAAACCTGTACTCCTGAATTATGGGTGAAATTACGCACTACACAGTATTACAGAACAAGTAATTAGCTATGTTCGTAGAATAATGTATGTAGTACTTCAACCTACGCAACCACTCATAAAGTGTGCACACATTTCACCAAAATGTCATACAAATTTCAAATTATTCTTCACTTGCACTTGCATGAAATTCCATCCACTGTGTAACTAGTATTTACAAGATACATTGGTTACAGAAATGAGTTACAGTGTTAAAGCCTCAGAAGGAAACTCCTGACCTGCTGTAGCTACATTTGCTTTGATGGCTAAAGATGTGTTTCTGCATGGATGGGTTCTTGTTTCTTCACAGTGACTCACTGGCTTCAACAAAGTTTTACATAGCATGCACAGGCTCATTTACAGAAAGAATCCTTCGAGTTCGCACATTTGCTTGAGGGAGGTAGAGACAAAACAAGAACAAAAACAACAGAAGCCAAAGGAGAGAGAAGGCAGCCCAGCTTGGAGAGTACTAAGCTGAGGTCCATGTAGTCTTATGCTCACAGGACTGCTGTGTCTTTCCAACAGGCTCATCACTTCATATGCAGAAGTAAACCAGAAGTACTGAGAATGCCAGCCAAGGCATACCTGTTTCCAATTCCTTCTATTCTGGATGGTGAATGAGAAAAGATTTATTTGGTATACAGGACGCTGAGTTACAAAGAGCTTTTTATTACTAGAACCAAGTCAATGTGAAGCTTCTTTGTACTGTTTTTATGATCACATATGTGTGAATTATGCAGATGACATGTAATTCTAGATGATACTTGCTCTAAGAAACTTGTTAGGACTTTGTTGCAAATTTTTATCAAGATCTGCTTATCCTGGGAGGCTTAGTATCAGAAAATTTGAAGGGAGCAGTATGTCGGGTCCCTTACTGTGACTTTTGTTCGGGAATCTCCTTCGAGTGAGAAAACAACCAGACGGTTACCACGCTACCTCCCATAGCATTTCCAACATCCCATTTGATACGAAAAACATACTAACACATTGCTTCTGAAGAAAAAAGATTTTAAAGAGAAAAAAAGATGCTTGTTTTCATCTGATGCTCTGGAGATGTACAGAATTTGAATAAATAGTTAAAGCACATCCGTACTCTTCTCTAAACTCTGGACTGCATCTATCCTTTCAGTCAGAACGTTACATCCAATGAAGACTGAATTTTCTTCTCATGAACCACAGAAGACAGGTCAGATATGCATACTATTTCATTCACTTACATCAGGACATTTAGCATAGGAAAATCCTGATTTAAGTGCCTGAGGAAAAACTTAAAACCATTCTACCACTCCATTTCTGAACAATACAAAAATACCCACTGTCACAGATGATTGTTTTTAGCATCAAAATTGAAACACGGAAGCTACATGATCTGTATTTAAAATGCAGTTTCACACAAACAACTTAATTGCTCATTGTGGAGGAGGGGAGAAGACATTTTATTTGAACTTGGCTTCTTAGAGATGCCAACAGGAGTTCAGTTTGCCATCAAATATTGAACTATTCCAACAATAGATTTGACCGAAGGGGTTTAGCAGCCTGATAGCCCAATTGCTTCTGATTTAAAAGCCTTGCAGGGGTCTTCTTTGAACTAGGAACCTGGAAAAGCATGTCTTCCAGCGTGCACATGGTTATCTGTCCTGAAGCTTGTAGTTTCGTATAAACATCTCCTAATTTGGCAGAAAGGTCGGGGTTTTCTTCCATCTTTTCCCTGACTGTAGCCAGCTAAGGAGGAGAAAATGACAGACTGTTACAGTTCAGCAAGCAAAAAATCTCATTCAACCACCATATTGAAGATAAGCAATCACTCAAAGAGAAAAAAAATACACAAGATAAGATAAGATACATGGCTAATGCAATGACTCATAAGAAGAGTACTTTACACAGTACAATGGTGGAAATGCACTGGATACCTATTAAAGAGAGTTTATTAGATTTAAAACTTCCTCAAAGTTGTACAGTCCTATTTCAGTCCTAGTACAGACCAACACAATTATTTTCTATTTAAACCCAGGAAACATAATTGCTTCCTGGAATCTACTTTTCATATCAGCACAACTCCAATTATTATTGTATATCACAGTAAATGCCCAGTACAGTACAAATCAATAAAAGTCAGACTATGGAATACTGAGAAGTTCTGTATGCCATACACAGAGTATGAGCTCAAGTATAAGTAAATCTCTTAAAAATATTTATTGATCAATAACCTTTTGCAGAAGGAATGAGTTAGGACTAATGCTTAGTATTTGTAGAGACTGTTACAAAGTTGCCGAACAAATGCAAAATACAACACTGACCCATGCAAAATTTATTGCAATGAATTTCAAAATGAAATGCTGCTTTAAAAAATTTTGTTTTAAAATAGCAGTTAATATACATGGGCTATGTTTTGAAAGGTATGCCCCCCTTCTACCTATAGTATTTGTTATTTTATGTATCAGTTATTAATTTTATTTAATAGGCAGAAGTGAAAGGCTAAATATTTAATTATTAACACAGTCTTATAATATCTTGTTCCATGGACACATTCAAAATTAATACACTAGTAAGTTTCAGAAAAAGCAGCAGTAATGCTGCCAAGCTGATAGGGGTACATATGTGTTCTGAAGGCAGCCTTCTTGGTGATCAATACCGTAAAAGCTATTTTTAATAGTAAAATAGCAAAAGCTGTTATTTACCATACCATATCACATTTCCCTGCATAGCATCATAGATCTTTGCAAATAGTACCAACCTAACAATATCGCTGTGATCAGAACTTTATTCTCATTTTTATATCAAACGAAAATAGCAGAGAAGGCAAGGGATTAAATTATTTAACGCCACTAGGGAACGCTTCATTGACATTCAGATGAAATCTGAACTTCTAAGAGCAAAATCCACAATAAAAAAAGGAAGTGGATAGCTAAGTGCTTTGTCCAACAGTACAGAAAGCCAGCCAGCTGCTTTGGCATCTGAATACATCAGAACCCAAACAATTTAGCAGGGCTTTCAGGACTCAGGGACCTGAAGTTCGGTAGCTGAACCACCATCATCATGGCTCAGCCAAGCACTGTGGACATCCTCTCATTACTGTGTACTTACCACCTGCTCAGAAAATTCGATTTTTTTCACAAAGGGAGGAGTATCTACTTCCATTGCTGTCTCTAATGTCTTCATTACTTCTTGCAGTGAACCACATCTGAGCTGGACAAGAACCTTAAAAATAAAATAAAACCACACCACACAAACATTACTTATCATCAGAATGCAAATTTTTAAAAGTGTGTGAGGAACATATAAAGGAAAGCAAGACAAAATATATTTCTAGATGCTGCACTGACAAAAATCCACTAATCA